TTTTTTTTAAACTTGCCAGTGGTCGGCGAGGTAATGCATCTGAAAAAGAAATGAGTTGCTGTGTAAGCACTGAAGGTGGAGATTAGAAACCAAGGTTTCAGTTGTACAGTGAAGAGCGGATGTAACAGGTGTAACAGTTCTGAGTAACCCCGGAGGTGTCATTCTGCGGGACGGAAGCTGCTCGCTTTCCTGTGTGAGGGAGGTGTTAGTGAGAACATAAAAAGCACGTGAGGCTGAGGCAAATCCGGAGAAGGTGCTGCTGGGTTGCCAGTAATCCAGGGGCTGCTGCCAGGTGAAGCAGATGGTCCCAGTGCCGTGGGCTCGTACAGCTGTGTGCCTCTTGGATCTGTTCAGGATGCACGTAGAAATTAGATGAAGAAAAAAACAGGTTTGATGAAGACTAGCTTAATACAGCTTAAAAAAAACCCTGAGGTACAGAAAAAGTAGTAATAGTTGTGGCCATCTACATGAAGTGCATAGCTGTATGTATAGCTCTTCATTTAATTTTCCTTCAAGCAGCTCTGCAAAAGATGGATATCTACAAAATCAGACACAGATAATACGGTTTGGGCACATTTGAGACAGTTGAAACCCCATGTTTTCAGTTCCTGCAAATGGAACAAGAATCTTCATTTAAAACAAGTTTTTTAAAACCTTGACTGGGTCATAGGTTTTGCACTGCCTCATGCTAAAATATGAAAAATAGTTTAGAATTGAACATTATTATTCCTTTCAGTACTCATGAAAGTCTTGTGACAAAAGAGTATTGAAGAGTTTTATCGCGTAGAAGGGAGGGAGAGAATTTGAATAAAAGAGGCGGTGTAGAAAGAAAACTGCAGAAGCATTCCAGCAGAGCTTAGGAGGCAGAGTATTAACATGCTGGTTACCTTGACCTAAGGCCCCTTTGAATCTAAACTAAACCTGTGGATTCAGATTCTCTTAACTGCTCAAAGATTCGCAAATGAGATGTTTCAAGTCAAAATGCACGTTCAGGGTTGAGTTTAGCAAGTTGGCCTTAGCTTTTGACTCAACAAGGACTCTGCAGACAGACATTGGAAAAACTTTGGCTTTCATTGTGACTTTGGCATGTTGTTGTTTGGCTCTTGCACACTAGTTATTTGTTCACATTTACAGCAAATAATGACCAGAAACCTAACCTGCAACTGGACTGTTGGAGTAACTTCTGGCAGGGTTTGTTTCCTTCTCTTTCCCCCACCCCCTTAAGACTTTTTGCCTTATGGGATTTGTTTGCAATCTGCTAGCTGAAGCTCTGAGACAAGTTTGCCAGATCTGGGGCTGCATCATCGTTCTGCACATCTGGAAGTGGTTTATGGGCTCTCATTCCTCCAGTGCGGCGTCTGGACTCTGTGCTATTCCTCAGCAGCAGAGAAAGAGAAGAAAACCAGCACAACTCCAAAGTAAACTTTGAAGAGTTTGAAAAAGGAATTGAATCTTAAAACTGTTACTGTGCCCTGTAAGGCCCTTGCGTGGGGAACTTCAAAGGAGGATGATGGTCAAGGAAGCTTTGGCAAGAGTGCTTACAGCTGTGGGCTATCTAGGATCCGAGTAAATAGCTCTACAGCTCTTCAGGAGAGAGGAGTCCCGAATACTGTGCTGCTTTGAAGAGGTAAAAAGACTAATTAAGCAGGAAATATCTGAGCAGTAATGTCACTGTTTCTGAGCTTTCCCTTCTGCAGCCCCTCATGTTGTTACAGGATTTGGCAACTGAGTTAGGGACTGCCACGTTCCAGGAGCTAATGTCTACAGTCAGGAAAAATTGAGTAAATATTTGCAGGGGAGCAAATATTCCTCTCTCTCCTTAAAAATCAGTGGTAATCAATCTGAGTTTCTGAGTCTTAGGAATGCTGTAGTTTTAGAACTCGAACTTGTATGAGTGTCTGAGTTTGAATTTTAAAGTTTAAAACGTGGTTCAGTTTATGTTGATTTAATCATTTCTGAAGATGTCATGAGGCTATGGCTATCCAACTTCATCTTGCAGTGATCATGAGCATTGTTTGTAACTATCATTACAAATCTTAATTAAAAGACAGTAGTCAGCTCTCTGGAAATCAGGTGAAGATTGTTGTTAGCTAAACTGGGGTTAGAAAGTTACTCCGAGAGTGTAGGGGGTTCTGTTGTCTCTCTGCTTAGCTAAAAAGGTAAACTTTTTTAATGGATAAGAAGGCAGTGCTTGTGTGTAATGCGTGAGAGAAGGGCTTTTCTCAGCAGTGTGTTTTTTCTGACTGATAAGCTTGATTTCCTCTCTGTGTAAATTAATGCCACATGAAGAGTGTGGGCTGCTGGAATGTAGATGAGTACTGTGGATGCAAAAAGACTTCCAGAAATATGCCTTGCTCACTACAATTTAGTCATCTGTTGGGACATAAATACATGTGAATGTAAGTGGTTGGTAAAGAAAGCTGCATCTTAGCTTTTAAAATATTTTTATTGTCATTTAACTTGTCGAAGTAGAGACTAATTTAGGATGCCGCCTGAACTTGAGCGTTAACCAATGAGAGGCGGTCAGTTTTGTGACTCAGGTTTCAAGAATTTTTGCTGTTCTGTCTGCCTTCTCAAGCAGTTGGAATAAACTTCATTTTTATGTGTGCATAGAAACTGTCATATATCCTTATCTATGCTGTAATACGTCCATATCTCTATGTATGGAAACAGAAAAAATTGGTTTCTGTCCTATATACAGCTACCACAGCATAAAGGTTAGATCACATAGTTGTATTCCCCCACCCCAACTTCTGGTGCTGTTTTTTACTGTTGGGTTTTTGTTGTTTTGTTTCAGTTTTTTTTTTTCCCCCCCATGAAGAGTAGTTTAGGGTCCAGAATTCACCTGAGTGCTGTATTTCCCATAATCCTGTATTTTAGGGATTATATTCTGTCCTCTCAGGCCTGCTTTAAAAGTACAGTTTTAGGGAAGGCTACCTCGTTTTCTTCAGCATCACAAGTAATGTGCTTAAGAACAAGCCATGTTGTACCACCTCCCCCCTTACTGTAAGTGGAAGGATACTGCTGTTAGAAAATATTTTTACTATTGCTCTAAAATTTTCTGAGAGTCTGAAAGACACTGCTGCAGTAAAGGATTCCCATATGTTTGGGAACATATTCCAGCAAGAGATTAGTATTCCTGATTGTTACTGTGTTTTAGGTGAAATCAGAGATAAATGTAAATGTTTTTACAAATTTTATCAGTGTATGTTTTACTACTTCTTTGTATGTTACTTTAAAGTGTGTTAAAATCTCAGTTATTCCTGATTGTAGGTGATTGGATAGAATTAACTAAAATGCTGTTCTTTTCAACCTATTAGTAGCTTAAATTCAAATATGTAATAGTTCTAGCCCAGAATATTAGTTTTGTTCAAAATAAGTTATTTGCAAAGATAGAGTGCAGTTTTCCTTTTACCGGGTTGCCAGTAAAATTTGATGATGCAAAACCTTGTCCCTGAAATAATTAACTAGTATTCACTGCTGGTATTAATGATTTTTCTCTCTCTCTCTCTTTTTTTTTTAAATTATTTTTTTATTTTTATTTTGCCACAGATCACAGTTTTCATCCAACAGGACACATGGCTCTTTTAAAGAAAAGTAAGAGGGATTAAAAATATTTGAAATACGTATTTTTGAAAGAGGACAGAGATGTCAAATGCAATTTCTCATGCAACTGTTGTCACAGTTGCATGCAAATTTATAGTTCTAGTTTTGCTAAATTATGCTTAACTTTAAGTATACAAATAAGCCTTTTCCTGTTAACTAAGTCAGATAAGTATGGCCATAAATGCCACAAATTTAAAATTACTCACTACTTCACTGCATGAGACTGGGGGGTCTGGAGTTTCCCACTGAGTGCAGGTAGCTGCTGGTTTCATGTAGGTTGTGCCTAGAGCTTTGAACCTGTCTTTTTTACAGAACTCTGCACATTAATGCTGTTCATACTCACAATTGAGGTGTGGCCCCAAGAAATTTGGGGTTCTCGTCAGCTGTCAGGGTCAGTGACTGAAAATGAACTGGTGTGTGCCTTTGGTTATGCACCCATAATTTCTCTGAAGTCAATGGGCTGTTTCCTCAGCTGGTTTAAATTAGTGCAGGTTTGGTGATGTATGTTTACCAATTTGAATTTATTCTCATGCCCAGTTCTGGCCAGTTGGCCCTTTTGTTTGAGATAGTTAAAAACTTTGTTCCCTTTGCTCTTTTGTACACCTTAAATGCCTTTTATGGTGGTGCAAAAGTAACAAACTAGTCCAACACAAAGAACTCCCATCATCAAAGTCACTGTTGATAGCAATGTATCCCTTCCCTGTTGTACTCAGTGAACTGCCCTGGTACCTGCTCATGGTTGGTTTGCATTGAAGTAACTTAAACTTGTACAAGACAGTCTGGTAGGAACTGCAAATCAGAATATACAGTAAGGTTTTTGCTGTTGTGTGCTTTGTTTTGATTTTACTAATTTAAGTAACCGTGTGAAAATGTTCATATATTTTCAAAAATTTTGGAACACTCCTGGCTTCAGTAGCATGCTGGGTGTGTTTTTCTAGTATTTTTAGAGTTTTTCTTAAATACACCTTGAAGATCTGAACATTGAAATAAAAAAAAAATCCTCCTGTGTTTGAAGTTTTATCACGGAAACATGAGAGAAGGAAAGGGCTAGGCAAAAATAATTATATCCTGAGGTCCTGTTATGATAAACAGACAACAAGCTAGCCAACAAAAGAATGTTCCAGGCTCCTGGTAAAATTCAGAACCGTGAATTTTCCTAGTGTGGATAACCCATGTGTATTGGGAGCTTAATGATTTAGTGAGCAAATTGTCTGTGAGAACCCGGTAGTTGGAAATTATTGTAATGGGGGAGAGATATTGTGATGTTTTTACATAATATTTTTAGCTTGATCAAATATTAAGAGAAAGGAGAATTTGATACACACAGAAGATACAGGTTATGGTATATACTGCTTGCAAATTCAATTTTTTAAAATAAGGTACTTGGGAATTAGCTATTATACTGATTACTAACAAATTCTCCCTTTTGTTTCAGTTAACCAGATCTTACTGTTACTTCTTGTCTTAACTGTATGTGCCATTCTGTATAACAAAGTTCACCAAGTGCCATCTGCATTAAAGAATGAAACAGGTAAATGACTTGTACTTCTGTTTCATTTATGTTCTTGTTCTATATTCCTTATCTCTTCATTTGTACAGTGCTTTTTGTCTTACTGAATCCTGTTTGCCCTGCCGTAGATTAGCTACTGACGCTTTTGCATATGGTCTGGGATGCAGAATTTTTTGCATCTGAATTACTTGAATAAAATAGTAGGAGATCAATAGTAATGACTAAGAATTGTCATTCAGAGTCAAGTTTTTATTCAGATGTCACTGATATAGATGGAAGCTGGAGTGTATCGTTATTTGTGCAGAACAGTATTGGAGTTGTCAAGTGCTAATAAACTTTGATCGCAACTTGCCCCTTTGGGAATCTTCTTGGCCTGCCTATTCATTTCAGATAGATCATCAAATCTTGACATAATTTAGAGCAGAAGTTTTTGCTGGAATTTTTAAAGTGACAGAAACCCACTAGAGTTGATGCGGTTGGACTGGTGTTAAATGCCTATACTAACAGCTTATTCGCTGTTCCCGAGATAAACAAACTTTGTCTTGGTATAAATATTTCTTTTTCCAGTATATTTTTGTTGGGGCTGTTATGAGTTTAATGGTTATGTTTTAACGAGTATAAATATATCCATATAAGTTCTGTAAGTTATTCAGTGCTAGGCATAAAAATCTTTCTTAGCAGTAATGTGAACTGATTCAGTATTGTTTAGATTTTTTTCCTTTTATCATTAGCAACTTCCTGCTGGTACAAAATTTTGCACTATTCCTTTCTAGCCTGCTTCCCAAAGAAGTGAAGCTCGTGCAATTGCACCGTCTCCTCGATTTACCTCTTTCCTTTGATAATTTTAGAACTTATTGTTCAATTTGTTCTAAATGTAACTGAGAAGTAGAAGTCTCAAAGGTTTCATGTGAATAAGCAGCTACATGGAGGACAGGCTGAATTGTGCCCCTGCTGAGTAGAAGATGCCGAGAATTCTGTTATATATTCTGTTTGGAGGCATCCAACAGTCCAGTCAACCTGCATGTAGTTCTGGATTAGCGACAGCTCGTGCTGTGTGCCTTGCCAGATGCGGGTGTGTATAGGATGTGGTAAGAATGTGGGGTGATTGTGATATGATTCCACTGCTTATGGAACTACATACTCATTCCTATGACCCAGATCTGATACAAAAAGATTCTTAATTTTCTATTATAATGCATAGTTTTGTTTCTTGTAGTGGATTTGGAGAGTCCTGAGGAAATGGAAGAAGAAATCCCAGTGGTAATCTGTGCGGCTGCGGGCAGAATGGGTGCAGCTATAGCAGCAATCAGTAGCATCTACAGCAACACAGAGACTAATGTTTTGTTCTACATAGTTGGGCTGAAGACTACTATCCCGCATATTCGGTATATACCAGCCTTATTTTGTTTCATGCTGTAGCTAGGACTAGGTTGTTGTTCTCCTTAGCATGGGCATAGACTTTGGAGGACTTTTCAGGGGAAATGTTTCTCCCTTTTTTTTAAGTAGTGCTATTGGTAGCAATCCCCAGGACACTCTATGTGTAGAAAAAAGGACCATTTTGCTCTGTGCAAGGCACTCACTGGTATAAAGGGGTGTGAAATAGCCAGACCATGCCCATACCCGTTCCTCTCTGCCTTTTGTAGATCGGCTGCAGAAGAGTCTGTAGTAAGGTAAGTAAGTATGTATGTGCTTACTTGTCACAATCCCACTTTGTGGCACTGCAGTTGCCTCTCATCTGGCGCTATGTCTTAAGCCTCAGAGTAGAAAAACTTGCTGTTTAAAACTAATTTCAGCTGAGAGGGTGTACTAAAGGTTAGAAATAGAGGCCCAAAGAAGCTTGTAATGAAAGCATGTTTGGGTGCTAAAATTTGCAAACATTCTCTAAAAGAGGAGGAAGGTGTGAATCAAAATTAAAGCGGGTTTCTTAGCAGTTGCTAAGAAATGGCTCTCTGGCTACTGCACTTCTGTAGCCTGTGTACCCACAATCTGTGTCAAAGTGAAAAGACGTAATGAGTGGGGTTTTTCCCATCCAGCTCATCAGTAACCTAGATAATAGAGTGGAGAATGTGCTTTATGAATTTGTAGTTGGCACGAAGCTGGCAAAGAGGCAGCAGATATATTGAGGACAAGAGCTGGAAACAAACTAATCATGATGAATTGGAAAAATGAACTGTAAAATGTGAAGTTCAGTAGAGGTAATGACAAGGTAATATAGGTGGGAATAGCTGATTGTATTGGCTCAGGGTGAAGAAGGAGTTCGGTTGCACTCATTTGGAAAACTACAGAGTTCTGACTGATCACTGACCACACTGATTCAACAAAAAAAAAAAAAGGTATGCATCACAGTGGGTATACATGTTGACATATATGACATTGGCGATGTGAGGAAACTTTTTCTGATCTTGCAGACATTATTAATGCATCAGAAAAAGTGTGGCGTTTAGTTTTAGGTGCCTTCAGGAAGGATTTTGAAGAGAGGTCAGAGGAGAAAATAAGCAATGGTGTCACGAAATCCAACAAAATAATGAAAAAAATTAGTCTAAAGAAAATATAGTTAGTAGGTGATGTGGCAATCTTCTTGAAGGACATAAAACTGTAAAAGGAAGAAAATGAACCTCTGCTTCAAAAGCACAGTAGATAGGATAAAATAAAATGGTCTTTAGCAAGAAATACAGAAAAATAGCGTTTAATGCTAGCAATGGTGAAAGATGGGTTGTTTGAGCAACTTGTGGAGTCTCTGGTTTTGGCAGTGATGTGGTTTTTGCATTGTTGGGGTTTTTGGGTGTTGTTTTTTACTTTGTTGGGGATTTTTTTAAGAACAGGTTAAACAAATGTCTGTGTGCCATAGCTCTAGACATAAGTGATTCTGTCTTAGGATAGAATAGATCAAGTGAGCTTTCAAGGTCTCTTATTCTCCTATGGGTCTGTGAATTTAATACTGGAAGTACTTGCCACACAGTATTCCTTTTATCACTTCTTTTTTTATCACAGAAGGTGGATTGAAAATTCTAAACTGAAAGAAATAAAATACAAGGTTGTGGAATTCAACCCTATGGTACTAAAAGGAAAAATCAGACAAGATGCATCGCGTCCTGAGCTGCTGCAGCCTGTGAGTAAATGAACACAGTTTAACAAATTTTCAGCGTTTTTAACACTATGTCCTAGATCTCTGTTCCATTACACAGTGGGGATTTAAGCCAGAGAAGCCGCATCAGGTCCAAATGCTAGGCCCTCACTCAAGAAGAAAAAGTGCATTGTAACAAGCTCCTTGCAACTTGTCTGTCTTGCTGGGACCTCATTATTTGGTGGCATAAACTTGGTAATTTGAATATGTTGTATGTTTAAGAATATATTCACTGTTTCTTGGAGGGGAGATCTAATAGTCTTCTTTGTGCCTCAGTGATGCTGAGTTGGCTGCATTCTGCTCATGTCCAGGGTTAATTCAGAGGCTGATGACTAATCTAAATACTTCTGGCTGTCAGAAAAGGCAAATCAGATGTTAGAAATTATTATGAAAGGAGTAAGGATCAAAATAGAGAACATCATTATGTCACAATATGAATCCATAGCTTTCCCTCACACTAAATACTATGTGCAACCTTCGTCCCCTTATCTGAAAGAGATGTAGCACTACAGGAAAATGTTCAGATCTGTCCAGAATGTTTACTCTTCTCCAAGCTTTTGACATTTCTAATATACGGAAAAGATTTCATGCAAGGAATCAGTGGGTTAAAACCATTCAGCCTGGAAATGTAACTTCTAGTGTGAAAATAGTAGAGGTCTGCAGAACTGAATGGCATGGAGGACTGGATGGGAGACGGTTGCTCACTGTCTCTTCCAATACAAGAATTAAAGAGATTAAGCTCTTTAGAATTAGATTAATTTAGTAAGTCACAGTCAGAACAAACAAGAAATGTTGTAGGTTTTTCATACAGTGAGTACTGAACCTCTAGAATTCCTTGCTGAAAGGTCTTGTGAGTGTAAAAACTTACACTTACAGGGATTCAGTGAGGTCTTAAGTTTATATTTAGATAAATCACATCTGGTTCAGGAAATCCCTTGAGCTGAAAGTAGCTGAAAGCTAGGAGAATACTTGGAACAACTGTTCTGTATGCTCGCTCTATTCTTATTTTTCACTGAGCATCTGGTTAGGACCACTCTGAAGGCAGGTTCTGGGTAAAATGGCCTGAATCAGTATGGTTGTTCTTCAGTCCCTCCCTTTCCCTCTGCTGTGTTCTTCATTGCTATTGTAGAAGCAATGGCATGGCTGTGCCACCAGTCAAGTCTTTCCTATAGGGAGGAATGATGACACTGTTAAATTTGAAGTGTTTTGTATGATGTATGCTGTAAAAATGTATTGGGGAAAAGCATTGCCAGCAGGTCCAGGAAGGTGATCCTTCCTCTTTACTCAGCACTCGTGAGGCTACGTTTGCAGTACTGTGTCTAGTTCTGAGCTCCCTGATACAAGAGAGATACGAACTTACTGGGGTGAGTCCAACACAGGGCTGCAAAGATGATTAGGGGACTGGAGCATCTTTTATATGAGGAGAGGTTGAGAGAGTTGGGGCTATTCAGCCTGGAGAAGAGAAGGCTCAGGAGGATCTTACCAATGTGTATATGTAGCTGAGGAGAGGGATGAAGACAAGGGAGCCAGGCTCTTCTCAATGGTGCCCACTGACAGGACAAGAGGCAATGGGCACAAATGAAAATACATGAAATTGCCTCCAGACCCAAGAAAAAACTTTTCTTTTTTTTTTTTTTTTTTTTTTTTTTATTGTGAGAGTGGTCAAACACTGGATAAAGTTGCCCAGAGAGGCTGTTGAGTCTCCATCTGTGGAGATACTGAAAACCCAGCTGGGCATGGTCCCAGGCAGCCTGCTCAAGTGGACGCTGCTTGAGAAGAGGGTTGGGCAAGATGATCTCAAAAGGCCCCTTCCAACCTAGATGACTCTGTGATAGAAGCAATTGGTTTGGGCTGCTTGGTTAAGGCCATAGTAAATAAAATAGGGATAAATAATAATAATAACAGGTTCAAGATACTAGTAAAGATACTAGCTGGGGGAAAGGAAGCAAATGATTGTTGGCTAGTGCCCAATGAAGAGAGAAATTAAAACTGATTGTTAATAGAGACAGAAGCATGAGGCTGCTACATTAAACAGCTTTACCACTTAGTCTTTACCCTTTTTTCTGTTTAATAGCTGAACTTCGTTCGATTTTATCTTCCTTTGCTTATCCAGAAACATGAGAAAGTAATATATTTGGATGATGATATCATTGTTCAAGGTAAGCTCTGATCCAAAAAGCGGTTTCTAGCAGAACTAAAAACAAAGTTATTGCAGCTTTTACAGTTGTTTGGAAATACGAGATATAATGGAAACTGAGGCAGCTGCTAGGAGTGTTCCACTCAGGAAAACTACAAATAATATGTTTATTTAAAAGAAAGTCTCAAGAAGACCTTCTCTCCCTGTATCTTTTGAATAGTTGATTTTGATCAAAATTGTATGCATGGTTTTCATTTTAATGAATCTGGTCAATTCCTGGAAGGTATCATGGATTTCACTTAGATGCTGCAATATTTATTGTTAAGTACGTGACATGCGTTTCCTACCAGTACTTGAATTCCCCCAAATGCTACTGGTTCTTCATCCAGAATTGCTGTTCTTGAGAGCAGGAGGAATTTACTCAAATAGGAGGGTTAAAATTCTAAGCACTCCAAATGTGATTTTGAGCATCTTCAGCTCAGAATCCATAGTAATTTGCAGAATCATGACAAAATATTTCAGAGTTCCTAGACAAATGGGCGCAGTTAAAGACTTTAAAATCCTGAAAAATCTTTTTTTTATAAAGAAATCTAATTAGAGGAACAATTATTTATTTAAAGATTAATTTATGTTTATTTTCTCTTCTGTTTCTCAGTATATTTTTTTTCTCTGTAGAGTTGTTGTCCTTCCTTGTTTTATCTTATTGTTTTCTTGTTATTTTTATAACATATTTAGTCAGAGTGTTGTGGTTTAACCCTGGTGGGCAGATAAGCACCATGCAGCTGCTTGCTCACTCCCCCCCCTCACTCCCAGCGGGATGTGGAAAGAGAAAAGGAAGAATAAAAGCAGGAAAACTTGAGGGTCAAGAGAAAATAAACAAACAAATAATCATTTAATAAAAATAAGTGGAAGAAGAGAGAAGCGAGTTCCTGAGCAAAAGCTGGCTAACCCCCCCTAAGACCTTCCCCCTTTTCGCTTTTATTGCTGAGCAAGATACTCTGTGGCATGGAATATCTCTTTGGTCAGTTTGGGTCATCTGCCTCGCAGCCTGTTGTGCGCTCCCTGATCTATTCATGGGAGGGGCAGAGTGAGAAACAGAGAAGGCCTCGATGCTGTGCAACCACTGTTCAGCAAAAGCTAGAACATTAGTGCGCTATTGGTACCATTTTGGTCAAAAATCTAAACCACAGCACCCTATGAGCTGCTATGATGAAAATTAACTCTATCCTAGCCAGGTCCAGTGCACAGAGACAAGAAAATCATTTTACCTATCCTTGTTGAGCATTAAAGGGATGTTCCAATGAAAATTTCCTTTGGAAAGGACTTGAGTATAACTATAATAAACTTTCTTTGATGTAAGAACATTAAGGTCAGTGAACTTGCACATGAAAAAAGTATAATTTTATTCTCCATTGCTTCCCTGCGCCTTTCTGTAGCTTTGTCTCTTTGGTGGCAGATTTCAGAACATCTGCACTAAGAGAGGCCACTATTAGCTGATTTATCTGCTCTGCCTGTCTCATTTTAATTTGCAGTAGACTTCATATCACAGTTCCTTCAACATGTGGTTATCTCTGCTTTTGGGTTTTGTTATTCTGTCATCAATGGGCAACAGCAATATTTAACTCTTTGAAAGGTCCTTAAAGTCTTCATTTACACTCCACTTTCATGAGCACTTTCAGCTGAGCCCACCACTTCCCCTTCATCCCTCCTTACGCCTGCGCAGGCATTCACCAGAAATGTGATTACTTTCAGCCTGAATTAGTTCCCTGGTAGGAGTCAAGGCAGTGCTGCTAGGAGAAGAGGGGAGGTAGGGTTTTCTCTTTCTTTTGGGGTGCCGGCTTATGCCAGCTGATAGTGTTTCTGGGCCTGCAGGGTGAAGGTGCAGTTTCACATCACGGCTCACGGTAGGCTGCTGCTGACGGAAGTGGCCTCTCCTGTCCCCAGGCAGCGCCTGGTACTTGTGTCCTGTCTACAGCTGTGCAGCTGCAGAATAAGCTGATTCAGCTGGTTGACCTGGCAGAAGACTAGTGGTACAGAAAAAAAACCCAAACTTTTTTTTTTTTTTTCTATTTTCTTTTTTGGCTTCAGCCAGCCTAACTTGGGCCACGCAATCATAGGGCCCAAAAGAGGGGGAGAGAGATGGACATGTGGGAGTGAGGCGGAGGGAGGGAGGGAGCCTGCTCTGGCAGCCACTCCCCACGTCTTAGCCATAAGATGAAGCTGTGCTGTCTGCCAGATGTCTCTGGAATGGGAGTGACTGGGACTTCTGACAGGGTAAGGAGCAAATGGGGTTTTCAGGATTTAACTTTGGGATCCTTTATTTGTTGGTTGTTGCTTTCTGCAAAGCAGTAAGAGTGAAACAGACTGAACTTAGGGTGTCAGCCCAGAACTGTTTGATTATTTTTTATTTTTCTTTTTCTGCTTTTCTCTTGAGAAGCAGAAGCTATTTAGAGTCAGAAGAAAATACCTAGTGAGGCATGTTGATCTTCAACAATTAAGTGTCCCATTAATTCAAATTCTGTTTCTTGAGTCCTAACCCAGGTTTTCCAACCAGCTGATGAATTCAAATAAATAATCTCTGTTTATTTCAGAAATAGTAGTTCCACTGGGTGCAGTATGGGTGATGTTTTCGGTTACTAGTCTAATGAGCTCACCTCAGGCTGCTGGGCCAGACATGGCCTTCCAAGATAATTCCTCTTACCTGTGACTGACCCATGCCCAGCAGCAGAGCTGGCAGCTGTAGGGGGTTTGGATGCAGACTCGCTCAATTGCCATGCGCTGTGCTTCCCACCCGCCCCGACACTGTTCTGGCAGGTCATGGGTGCCTGCTGGTCAGAGGACGAGCAACATGCCATGCTTTTCATTATTTCCCTCCAGCAGGAAGGAGTTTGAGCAGTCTGTGAGGCCAGCGGGGATGGTCAGGTGTGACAGGCACATTTCAGCTGGCCAGTGCTGGGAATCCAGGTGTCTTACTAGGAGATATAAACACAGTAACACCAGGAAAAACCTGATCTGTGCATGAGATTGAAGTGGGACTTGAAGAGGCTCAGAAAAATTGCCTGTGCCCTCCTTCTCCAAAGGCATGACTTTGTAACCAGGCTTCTGAATAGTGTAATCAGCTTCTGCTGTAGCTGGTTTTGGACGTTCAAGACCAGAATATGGATGTACTGAATACTGATGATCGTATCTAAAGATAGACCTTAGACATCCAGGTACAGGACACAAATTTGAAAATTGTCCCGTATCATAAAATTCAGCCTTCATCGGTATTTGGGCTATCCCCTAGAACTGGTATGTTTGTAAGTAACATACATGAGAACAGAAGTTATCCTATCAACTCTGGCAGCAAAGTAGGTTTCTTCTTATGCTTTTGATCTTTCTGTAATCAGGTGACATCCAGGAACTCTACGATACTAAGTTAGCTCCTGGGCACGCTGCAGCTTTTTCAGATGATTGTGATCTGCCTTCTACACATGAAATGGTTAGAAGTGTAGGGATGCAGGTAAGATGCCATTTTGGAATTCTGATAATGAATGTATTTACCCACAAATGTAAGAATTTTCTCCAAAGTGAAAGTTATTTTTTTTTTTATAGTTTTGTAATAGTTTTAGAGGTAATTAAGAACTACTTTTTGTAGTAACTCTTTAATGCTATGCAGAGTTGTTTCCTGTAATAATTTAAATCTCTGTTGTTCTTTGGATTCTACTAAATTATGCTTAGTATTTTGCTATCAGTAGATCATGAGCACTTATGGAACATCTAATGAAGACAGAATAAATGATATTTGTATTAGTCAAATTTGGAATTAAACTCAGGAAAACAAGTTTAAAGGCTAATTCTGAGCTGAGTTCCCCGGAACTGTCAGTGAGTCCCTCTACCATTAGAGCTGTACAAGCCTGATGCTACATCATTTAGAGTGAGCTACAGAAAGACACACACGTGCTGAAGGAAGAGCCTTATCAATCTCCCATGGAATAATACTGTGGGAAAAGTAATTCAGTAGCTGGAAGTATCCTGCCTTTCAGCCTTGTATCATATGGAAATCAAGAGGGGTAACCATCATTTAGAAACTCAGCTTTGGGAACGTTTATGTGAGCAGTAAACAGATGCATTTACACTTATCTTTGTGGAGATTTATAGGGGATAATCATACTTTTTTATTTCTTAGAACACGTACATGGGATTCCTGGACTACAGAAAGCAGGCGATTAGAGATCTTGGCATCAGCCCCAGCACCTGCTCCTTTAATCCTGGAGTAATTGTTGCTAACATGACTGAATGGAAACATCAACGGATTACGAAGCAGTTGGAAAAGTGGATGCAAAGAAATGTAGAGTATGTGTAGAAATCTAGCTTTGCACTTTACTTTTAATACTCAGTTTAGTGCCTAATTTTCTGTTTATAAGCTCTTTAAAGTTTGTAATGCCAAGTCTCTCTTTGAGATCTCATCAAGCGAAATAACTCATGTTCCAGTATTTCTGTCTGCTTAAATCTGACCCCAATCATGTGCCAGGAAATGGCCACCTGGAATTTTAGTCTTGTCTTTGATCACAAGCCACGCTTAATCCTGAGAGACACTGAGAACACATGTTTCTTGTTTTGAGTGACCAACCTCACTTGGGATCAAGCCACTTAATGATCTTCCCTTCCTGAGGCTGGCTTAAAGGAGGAGGAATGTTTCCTTGTTTTTGTGGGGTCTCTTCTATTGTAATGTCAGCCAAACTGTAACTGGACACTATTTCTTAAATGCCAACAGAAAACACTTCTTTTTCTATAGATGAATGAAATTTAATGTGAAAGATGATACCTTTTTGGCATTGACCATTAATAAGTTTTGACACAGTGAAACAGTCACTGTTCATTTCTTATGTTAGTTCACTGTTAACCTGTGTTTTAAAACTTGACATTTACTTCCTTTCACTGCAAAGGGTTAAATTTAAATTTAGTAAGGCTAAACTGAAACCGAATAGCTTGTGCTGTTGGACTAGGTCCATTCCTTGTTAGCTTCAGAAATGGAGAGAGGAGCAACACAAATGATAAGCCTGTGAGGGGATGAGAAGTCAAATGTCTTTTTCTTATTCTGCTTATGCAACGTACCCTGGCAAGCTATTGCTGTGCTTTTTAAGAGTTTGAAAAAGCTCTGTGAATATTACTTGCAAATTTCATCTACAAAGACGATTTTATACCTTAATAACACATTCATGTTCTGTTTAGCTGGATTTTGAGATGACAGTGAAATAAATGGCTTAGCAGTAGAAACCCAGTTCTGAGGGGAGGTTATGGTTTTTTGTTGTTGTTCTGTAGCCTCCAAGCGTCTCTGGGTACTCGCCAGATTTCCTCCTTGTCGGGCTGGCGGGTGGCACAGCGTCCCAGAGCTGGGGCAGCTTTGCCAACGGGCCGGCCAGGCCTTCCCCACGCAGCAGCCAAGACGTCTGGCTGCTACCTCCTAATTCCTCTCCTTACAGTGGTTTGGCTTTGCCTAGCCCTGGATTTATCACAAAATTCTTAGGAAATGGATATCCTTTGGATGTTAGTTTATACTAACCAGGCTTTGGTAAATCTGATTTGAAGTTAATTTCAGAAACCAGGCTAAACTATGTTCAATTCCTTTATGTTAACAGCTTTTTTTCTACTTTAAACTTCATCAGCCTTGTAGACTATAGGCAGTGTGTAGAAGTGATTGGCTTCGTGTTGGGTCTGACTCCTGTTTTGCTTGGTAGCAATGATTTACTCAACAGGAATCAGTTGCAAATATAAGCAATTAACAGCATTAGGAAGGAGTGTGCTGAAAACTGGTCTGTTCAAAATTATTTTGAATTTTGCCAGAATACTTTTTTAATCTTCTGACTTTTGTACTAAAGACTGTTTGATTGAGGGTTTGAACATTTTCTGCATTTTTTTTTTTTTTTTTTCTCCCTTTTGCAGGGAAAACCTCTACAGCAGCACGCTTGGGGGAGGTGTGGCAACCTCTCCAATGCTGATTGTATTTCATGGAAAGTATTCCGCTATTAATCCTATGTGGCACATAAGGCATCTTGGTAAGTTTAACTTCCTGCTGTTTGCAGCTGGAACTGAATAAAGCGAGAGGTTCGTAAGACTCCAATACAGGACCTCACATAACTTTACCTCAATACATTACTTTACACCTCAGATCCACAGTGTATAATCCTTGCTTCCCCCAGCACTCACGAGTCCGGCTTCTTCAGGGTGGGGCGGAATGTGGGGGTTACCTATGGGTGTCGTTATGCAAGTATCTTAACAGGTCAAGAAAACAAAATAGTTGCACTGCTGTAAAAAACCCCAGACCCTAATAGTCATTAAATTGGATAAAAGAGGAAAAAACAACACAAATACCAAAGACAGAGTTAGAGGTTTGAAGACCACCTAACTTTTACTGTCATGAACTATGGAAAGAATGTATGAAAGATCTGAATATAGTGAGACACTAAAAAAAAATAAATAAAAAATCAGACATTCTTGTAGTAGGGACAGTGGAAGATGATGGGATGCCTGGCAGTGTTTGTGTAGTCAGCACTGCGGAGGATGTAGTTACCTTTCACCTAGGAATAGTGAATTATCCTGGGAAAAAGAGAATGGCTTAGCTGTCATTGTAAAATGTATAGTAAAAGGATTTTTTTTTAAACCCCAACTATGCCAAAATCTTTAAAAGTGTTAAGAGAGAGGAAGCTTCCTGAGATTTTTTTTTCCTCATTCTGCATCAGAGAGGCATGCAGTTGAAAAAGCCTGTCTATCATACAACTAGTTGTCTACTGACAGGTGAAGGCTATTAGGACTTAAAAAAAAAAACCCAACTGAATTTACCTCACCTGGTAGTGTCTTCCATTATTAAAAACTGGATTTTTTTTTTTTTTTTTATGTACCCACGCAGGTTCTAGTCCTGATACCCGTTACTCAGAGCATTTTCTTCAAGAAGCTAAATTACTTCATTGGAATGGGAGATATAAACCTTGGGACTATCCCAGTGTTCACACTGATCTCTGGGAAAACTGGTTTATTCCTGACCCTTCAGGGAAGTTCAAATTAACTCGTCCCGATAGCTGATACTGAAACTACTTAAATGCATTCATAGGCTATGGTTTGCAGTACATAATAGTTTGAGATGCAGTCTGTTGTATAATTAACTGATTTTAGAAAATGTGAGTATTTGTTAAATACATGAAAAAATGACCATCAGTTTTGTGTGCGTATGGCTGGAGAGGGAGACTGGAGTGACAGCTACACAGTTCAGACTATCTTAACTTTCGTGTGAGGTGAGGGAACAAGCTTACTTGGCAACACTATAGTTTCTCTAAACATTTACCAGGGTAAACTTCAGTGCCAGTGACTGTGTTTTAACTTAAGGTCCTTATAAACAAGACTCCAGCGTCTGCTGGTAGTAAAATCTCCACCGGAACAACCTGCAGTATTACATACCAGGTGTCTTTAGTTGTCTAGCCCACATTAAGCAGCCTGAAATGAAAGCTTATGCAGCACTGTAATGAGTAGAGTTCTGTGGCACGGTGCCTCTGTTTTGCTGCGTTTCTGTGTATTACGCAGACGCCTGCGAGCAAGGCGCAAAAGCACATTCTAAAGCCACTGCAATACAATTCCTGATTTTATTGTGAAACATTGATAGGTTTAGGACAGGTTAAGAACTTTTGCATTACTGCAATGAAAAGAGCACCAGTTCTGAGGGAATACACATAGAATTGCAGTTATTTAGTGAAACGGTCATTGTATGCTTAACTGTATCTTATACCTAGACACCCTATAGTAGGTGACTCCCTTAAAGAAGAGGCCTTTCCCTTTCCCTTGTCCCATCAAGCAGGACAGCCTTACAGTAGTTATATCCTACTGTGCTACATACTCAGCAGTGCTAATGACATGCTTCTGGTTTTGTTGAAAAATAAAACAATTTTAACAAATCCCTGATGCAAGATACTTTGAGCACCTGCAGGAAAACGTCCATGTAAACAGCAATACATGATACAGTACACTTTAAATAACAGACAAGACAAATCCTATACCTTTTTGACAATATACTGAACAGCTTTACGCTGAAGCTAATAAACACAATCAGAATCATAATGCACACTTACTTGATTTAAGACGCTCAGAATTAAGCCACACAATTTGGGAAGAAAACTGTAAACATCATGCCTGCCCTCACAACAGGTTGACAGCGTGTGTTCTCAGCAAGAGCTGTTACAGCAGGATCAGAATCTACACCGATGAGTTACACTCAATGCACGGCAACTGTCACTGGCTGTGAGGAAAGGATAAGCCACACTGGTACAGGAGCTTCTGACCAGTGTGGATTGTGGAGATACAAACAGTATCTGTTTTTCAAGTACATGAAGCACCTACTGTCATAAGATCATCAAAACTTTTAATGTTTTGATCAGCTTATTGCTTTTACTTCATCTCCTCCTCACGTAATACAAGAGGGAAAGAAGATGACGGTTAGGCACAAGCATGGAATCTCATTTCTTTCTTGGTCGCTAGTGTTGGCCAAAAGTGTGTATCGTTTAAGCGAGTTCCTCAGAAGAAGGCTGTAGTTTCTACAGCTGACTCCTTACTCGTGGAACAGCTGCCCTTGTATTTAACTTAGTATTTCTTACTTGTAAGAGGAATGAGGAGAACACCCTCTCAGGTCTTACAGATTGAAGAGAACTGAGTTCTCTGAGTTAAAAACTGCTAAATCGCAAACCTCTTTCACCCAGTGCTAACTGTACCTGATGTAAACAACGTAGCTGCACCTGGTTTTTACAGGGAACATGGTCTTTCAATTCCCTGCGATGTAATCTGCTCGAAGGGGCTGTCTCCTGGTAAAGGTCAGGTGAAGAGACTCATCACACAGAAATGGCTGAGAGTTTAAATGCCACAGAATTCAAGAACCGCCCTTGTTTGGTTGGTTTTCCCCCCACAAAGAATTCCAGTTCTTTACATGGGAATTTGGAGGAGTGGTAGGGACACCTTACCCTAAGGCAGCTCAGCTAGAATATTTAGGCCCTGTCCTGTGCGACACAAATTTTCCTCCCCAGTGTTGTGGCTCGAGATGACATCTCCACTCCCTTAATCCTGAATATGGTCCGATTGCTAAATAGACAGAGCGCTCTCTTCCCACCCAGAAAATACTCAGTACTCACAGCTGCAGAACACAACTTCCTGCACTTTTTAAGAAAGTAAAAGGCAGACTTAAAAAGCACAATTTGCTTAACTGTGCATGATTAAAAACACCACTTCATGTAAGAGAAGGGTATGCTTCCCATTTTCCCCTCTGGATATAAAAGGATTACGAGATATCCAAATATTGAGGCATCGGTAAAAAGTACAGTGCTGCTCTTACCGCTACCTTATGATTTATGGAATAAAATTAACGCCCCAAAGAAATCTTCACAGATGAGAAAGCAATCTGTCAAAAACTGCAAGAAATGGTATACATTAAATATAAAACTCATATACAAAAAAGGGCTAACTTTTTTTTAAAAAGTTTGGACAGTTCCTTAAAATGATCTAGTTCATTGATTTGAGCCTACCACACACTTACTTTGAACTATAATAAAATAACTAAGGGAGATAAAATACTATTAAAATGCTTCAGTTGGAGAACCGAGGTACCAATCTTGACCACTGCATTAAAACTGCAGCACGTATGCACGGCCGAGAAGAAACAGCTCTTACGCACTGCTTCCCTCTTCCTCCCGCGTCACACCAGCGCCGAACTCTGGAATCTGGTCTGCAAAGGACTGCGTCATCCACTGTCCATTGGGCACCTCGCCGAAGGACGACCCCTCACAGTACTGCGGATTGCTCACTGCTGAAACCAACAAACAAAAATAGTAAAATACAGTTTAAAAAAATGCAGTTGATACCACTAACTAAAAAGTAAACAATTAAAATACAGTTGATGCTGCTAGTAAAGAACCCCTAAAACCACAAAGCAAACCCCAACCCCCCTCCCCCTCCCCCAA